ACTGCCACTAAATCCGATTCAATCTTCTTCAACTCGTCTTCTTTCTTCTTATCCATTAACCCTTTGCGCAAAACCTCGGTTTCGTCTTTGGTTCTCTTCAATTCTTCAGCTAACTCAGCCTCTCTCTGTGAATATCTTGATTTAACCGCCTCTGTTTCTTCGTAAGCGCTTCTTATCTGCAATGTGCTCTGTATATACTCTTCTTTGTACCTCGTCTCTGCTGCTTCTACCGCGGTTTTCAATTGGATTATCTCATTCCTCGCGAGACTCATTGCTTCCTTTAGATTCTTCACTTCCATTGATGATGATGGTGAGTCTCTTCTGTTTCGTCTTTCTTCCTCGAGCTGTCTAACGAGTTTCTCTAAAGACCTTATCTCAGATTTCGACTGCTCTAACTCGGATTCGGACTCAGAGAGTTTCGATTTCAGTTTCTGGACCTCGTTAATGGCAGAAGACAGAGCAGCGGAATCCATTCCGTGTTGTCTCTGCATAGCTTCGAGTTCAGATTGCCACGTCTTGTCTCGCTCCTGCGAGAGTTTACGCAGCTCCTCAATTCTTGAATCTTCTGAGGCATTGATCTCCATTAACTGATGTTTTGTCTCTTCAGCTTCTTCTTGAGCTTCCCTCTTCAATGCTTCTGATCTGTTTAGCTCTTCTTTTACCTTCTTAAGCTCATCTTGAAGCTGAGATATCTGAGATTCCAGTTCCGGTGTCCTTCCTATCCGCTTCTTCTGAATCTTTAAGAGAAACAATCATATATACAAAAACTGAGTTACGCGACTGAGTGCATCAACAAATCAAGAATCCAAAGTAAATTGCATACACCAAATCAACAATGTTTCATATCAAGATAACCGCAAAAGTACCTCATTAAGAGGTATTCTTGGAGAGTGACGATCAGTTACTACTTTCGGGATTTGAGTTTTCGGCGTTATCTTGGTTTTCGGATCGGAGTCTATTCCGCTTGGCTTGAGTTTCCGAGCAACTGGTAAAGGAGATTTCTTTTGTGGCAACTCCAACGATCGCGGCCTATCACACACAATTACAATCACACTTTAAAACATATGGAAGAAGCAACAAACAATTGACAAAAGTACCACTGCACAACTTCAACAGCATTCAAGAAACATCATAAAAGACTTACACAAGAACATTCACAAAAAAAGAAGACAACATAGAGCATTGAAGTTTAAGACTAAAGTATCATCATCATCACCTTGATTTTGGATTTTGCATGTTTTTGGGATCAAGAGATTAAAACCCTCTCTTTTCGTGTGTAATCAATTGCCTTATGATTGCTTCTTTGAAGAATCTGACAAACACTACATGAAGACAAATTCGATGTGTAAGAAAGAAGCAAAAAGAGAAAATTGGAAATATAACATTATCATAAGCATATATACACACACAACAAACTCAAGAGGAGATAGAAAAGCTTAAGCAAGTGTACAAACAAACAAAAACCATAACCAATTAAAATAGTTATAATACATTAGCTTCAAAGAGACTCCTAGTGCCACCAAACGAAGACAAAGATACAACATAAGTAAAAAGGAATATTGAATTTCAACATTTTTTTTTTGAAGTAGCCGTCAATGTGATTCATCAAAATCAGAAAGATAAACCCTATTACAAGCAAAGAAAGCTTCATATCTTAAACATAATCTTTTTGGTTGTTAAGTCACCATTTTTTATTTTCTCTTTTCAAAAAATTTGGAATTATGGGGAAGAAGAGACAAGTTCTTGTCATTTAGTTCATGTGAGATTTGGTTTTATTAGGTGGTTCTGCCCAAATTAGAAACACAGATCCAAAACTATAATATACCCAGAAAACAATCATTTACATATACCTAAAACTAGAATCTTTTATCATTCTCTGG